TGAATAAGTATAATGTTTTTGACTCATTTAATTGGGTTCTCTTTCTGTTTTAGGACTTGTATGGAGAACAGACAGGTTTTAGGTCATATTTATGTAGAAACATTGAAAAATCAAAAGGGTTCCCAAACTTTTAAGCACCTCTATAAATACAATGGTCTGGGATTGTGAATACACTGATGGGAAAAGTCTAGAGAAAACAATGCATTTCACTGCTTCAATTAATTTTTTTTCCCCCGTTATTGTCAAATGCAATCAAACTTCAACTTACCATTCCCAGACTCTTAAACTCTTGTCATCCGATGTACTTACAAATCTTCGGTTCTCATCCACAAAAACAATGGTGTTGACAGCCCCCAAATGTCTATCATACTCCTGAACAATTTCTCCACTTCGAATATCCCACTGCAGGGGAAGGCAAGTTTGAATAATTGTTTTTTCAAAAATTTGAAGGGAATGATACACAGCATTTGTAAAACTTTATGGAAATATTCTAACACATCTAAATGTTAGAAAACCTAACTAAACTTTAAAAGAACTTAAAAAGAAATAACCTACTGCAGCTGTAAGGAAGTCATTTGAATGAAATTGCAAACTGAGTTGAAACTCAAGCTATTTCTATATTGCTCTTAATAAATTATGAAGCTTTGAGTTACCTGCACAATTTTCTTATCTGACATTCCTGCTACAAAAAGATTCTGTTTATCTTCATCAGGATTGAATTTGACACAGTAAGGAACTTTTCTGTTGGTAAATCTTGAAATACACTGTCCTGGAGTGAAAACAGAGAGTTGAACAGGAAGATGTTCACACCTTCAGCTTTTTAAACTTTGGTTTTAAAGCAGCTGACTGTTGGCCTCAAGACTTCATGGAAACTAGCAGAGGGAAGGGTGCGTGCAACTGAGTGAAAAAGAGACAATTTGGGGGGACAATTACAATGTTTAGAAAAGAAGGGAAAGCAAGTTTTTTGGGTGCTGTAACTGTACAGATCAAGAGTACTAATTTATAACCACTTGGAATTAAAAGGAAAGATGTTTCCTATGAAGGAAGTTAAGCAGTAAGTAAAATACTAACAATTAGAAGTATCTAGCAGTGGCAACATTGGATCAACCTATTTTAAAAATCTGATGTCCTTCTTATACCAGGTTGATAGAGAAAGATATTCTTGCTCTGAATGCTTGTGTGTGTTAATAAAAAATTAAGCCAGAGCACGCCAGTCAGTCAGTCAGTCAGTCAGTCAGTCAGTCAGTCAGTCAGTCAG